CTTTCCCTCCTCTTTTCTGTGCTCTCCCTTTCTCTTCCTTTTTAAGGATGGGCCAGCGAATAGTTTAGTTATTGTGTTACTCTTTTGATGAAAGGCAAGTGTTTAGTGGGGGGGGGGAGAAGATGAATGTATCAGAGAGAATAGGAAAAACTTAGAAAGTTCTGGATAACACTGGACTAACACTGGTGATGAGTGGAGGGAGGAGAAGAGCAAGGAGTCCATACTTTGGGGCTACCTTCTTGGTGAAGGCAGAAAAAATTGGATTGGGAGTAAAGACACCAGGTTTGGTTTGGGAAGGGACACTGAGCAGCAGTAAAATGTTTACAAAAGAATGAGACCTGAGGCTGGGCAGATGCATGAACAGTGGAACGTGGACATCCTCTGTAGGGGAGGCATGCGGGTCGCTGTATGCCCCGGTGTAGTTAGTCCTCGCTTGCAGTTCGTGAGATGACACGAGAGTTCAACATTTATGTCTGCCACGTTTGTGTGTGTTCCTCTTACAGGCATATCTTGCAGGCATTAAAAAAAGGAATAAGTAATTGATCTAGGTACATGGTGAGGACAGGCTTTTTGGTGAGGAAAGTCTGGTTTTGTGTGTTAGACAGTTACTCGTGTGAGAGTACACAATCACTGAAGTTTTCTGAGAGAAAACAAACAGATCTGCTTGGGTGCTTGGTGACTTTCTACTGGAATGAGCCGTGAAGGTCCCTGCTCTGAAAGGTGAGTAGGAGCCCCACTCTTGGGCAGAGCTAAATAGGGAGGGAGCCTTCAGACAGGAACAGAGACAGGTTCATTAAGCCCCTGGAAGTGTTCAGAGAAACACATTACTGTTATTTTTAATTAATTAATTTATTTATTTTGGAAAGGTTTTTGCTATAGGGCACATGCACTCGCCAGAAAGACAGAGAGACACACAGCGAGATATCACCCCCCAGGAAGGATGACCACGCCGCAATCGCTTCTCCTCCATTTTCCTCTCAGGATCTCGGGCATGCACACACACGTCCAGCGTGAGTTTAAGCCACCAGGTCCAGGACTTGAACCACAGTCGACTGCACGAGAGTCCAGCAACATAGCCATTATGGCAATTTCCGGTCCCCAGAGAAAAACGTATTATTAACATGCTGCTCACATGTAAAGATTTACCTCTCAGTGTAAAAGGCATTAGATTTGCCTTCTGAGTTTAAAAGTTGAGAGACCTTTGTGCCGTAATTTTTAAAATATATATATTTAATTTTATTTATTATTATCATAATATTTTATATTACATTGAGTCACATATATCTTTACAGTGTATTGCATTTCTTTTTCTTTTTTTGAAGTAAGTAATTTATTTACAGTTCATTCACTATACATCAATACAGTATACAAAACGAGACTTTCCATCCAGTATACATTCTATATTGGCTCAGTCAAGGATATTACCATACATGTTATCAACAACACATAATTTTCTATTTTTTGCTTCTTATATATTTTGCTTCCCCCCCTCCCCTTGATTCCCTGCCTCTCACCCTTTGTGAACTTCCCCCTTCTCCCACACTGTCTCAGGTATGTACAGTTGTTTTCCATGCCATTTTTTTCACATTTTATTGATTCACTAAAGATCTTAATTAATTTAAAGACTTTCAATATCCAGCCCAGCTGACATATACACATTTAAGAATGCATGTCTGACTTTAGGCATAAACCTCACTGAGTAAAGTAAACATACTGTAAAGTAGCACTTCGCTGGGGCTATATAGCTTACTGCAGTCATGACATAGGTATTAATAGGTATTTTTTAATGCATTTTTTTAATTAAAAAAAGGTTTAGTATTTTTTTTTTCTTTCACTATAGGGCGCGTGCGCTCGCCAGACAGACAGAGAGAGACACAGAGACAGAAAGCGAGAAATCACCCCCCAGGGGGGATGGTCACGCCGCTATCCCTTCTCCTCCATTCTCCTCTCGGGATCTTGGGCACGCACACATACGCACCCAGCGTGAGTTTTAAGCCACCAGGTCCGGGACGCGAACCACGGTTGACTATGTGGGAGTCCAGTGACATAGCCATTATGCTAACTGCTGGTTCCCAAAAAAGGTTTAGTTTTAATAGATCCAAATGAAAAAATGTTAAGAGAAATTTGCTTAAAACTTTGTAAAGCCAGGAATAAAGGTTAGAATTCACTTCAAATAAGTAGGTAGATGAACCTATCAACAGTTCAAGAGAAGACAAAAATCCTTTCACCGCCAGCCTTGTCCCTACCATTAGGCTGGCCATTCTCTTGGTTGTTTCTTGTACTCTTATTTCTGTGTGCCCGACTTTAGTTCTCCTGGTATAGCACTCCCTTCAGCACTTTTTGGAGAGCTGGTATGGTATTGGTAAATTCTTTGAGGTTTTGATTATCTGAGGATGTTTTTGTCTTTTTTTCCCATATGAAAGATAATCTTGCTGGGTATAGTATTTTTTATTGAAATTGGTCTTCACCTAGCACTTTGAATATATTTTCTCATTCTATCCTTGCTTGCATTGTTTCTGATGAGAGGTCCTACGTTAGCCAGATGGAATATCCTTTGACAGTAACTTGATGTTTCTCCCTTGCCAATTTTAGTATCTTGTCTCCGTCTGTGGTTTTGGTCAGTCTGGCTATGAATGATGTGCCTTGTGGAAGATCTTGGGTTGATTCTTTGTGGGGTCCTTTATATTTCTTGGGTCTGGACATTTGAGTGCCTCTTTAGGTTTGG